GTTATAAATGCTTGGGAAAGGGTCATCGCCAGGAAGCATAATACATTGGCCCATCTGTATGATTCTTGCATCATATCGGACTGGTCCGGGTTTGACACTCAGTGTCGATAGAGTATGTACACTGTTGATGAGACGTAAATAAAGAAGAAATGTCCGTCCACTGCTTTTCTGCTTGTATGTGCCCTCAGGATTCCGTCAGGTGATCGATTGCGTTTAGCATGTAAAAGACTTTCACCTCTGGGTATTGACTTCAATGTCATATATATATATATATATATATATATATATATATATATTTGTGTGTGTGTGTGTGTGTGTGTGTGTGTGGTATATCAAAAATATCAGGTCATCCCATAAGTTCTGTCCGAATTTTAACTTTTTGTTAAAATGAACGAAATTAAAAGCGTATTTTAAAAAGTCAAATGAAGCTGAACATTATTTTTATGTTTAAATGCATTTAAACTGATCAAATTTTATTTCAGAGAACAATAAAATTAAATTTGGTTTGATTAAAACCCTGCTAACATGGAAGTACCCAAGAATCATTTGAGGCACATAATGCTTTATGAGTTCAAAAAAAAGGAAACTCAGCAGCCGAAGCGGCTAGAAACATTTACTCACTTTATGGAGAGGAATGTGTGAATGAAAGATCTTGCAGAAGATGAGGAAGTGGTTCTCAGTTTAAACCATACAACTGTTCATCGTCATCTTCAACAACTTGGAAAATTTCCTAAACATGGAATATGGGTGTCTCATGAATTGTCTGAAAACAACCTCAAATACCGAGTTGACATCTGCTCTTCTCTCCATTGTCGCCAACTTGTTTCACCTTTTTTGGATAGACTTGTGACTGGCGACGAAAAATGGATCTTTTATCGAAATGTTAAGCGTCGTAGACAGTTGCTTGGTAAAGGGGAAGGACCCCAGCCACTGCCGAGAATGGAAATTTATGGGCAAAAGTTCTTCTTTCAATCTGGTGGGATTGCCAAGAAATAATCCCCTTTGAATTCTTGTGACCTAATGCAACAATTAACGCTCAAATACACTGTCAGCAATTATAGCATTTGAACCAAGCTTTGAGGGAAAAAAAAGACCTGCTCTGGTGAATCAAAAAGGGGTGATGTTTCATCAGGACAATGCGCGACCCCACACAGCAAGAATCGCGTCACAAAAGATCGAAGAACTTGATTGGGAGAAAATTCCTCATCCACCTTATTCTCCCGATCTTGCTCCTTCAGACTACCATTTGTTTCGTAGCTTACAGAATCATTTGGAAGAAACAGCTTTTGTAACACAGGAAGATGTTAAAACTGACATTTGTGAGTTCTTCGAATCAAAGCCAAAAGAATTTTACAGTAATGGAATTAGTAAGCTTGTTAATAGATGGAAGGAAGTCATAGATAATCAGGGAAAATACATTGTTGATTGAATCTGTAATTAAATGTAACATTTGGTCACTTGTTTTCTTTATTCAAAATTCGGACAGAACTTATGGGATGACCCGATAATTTTATAAACTTAGGGGGCGGGCTCCTCACACCAAATCGAGAACAAAAGTCCATGTAAACATATGTCCGGAAAATGATTAAGTTTAAAAATGTTTCAGGTAGATTTCACTGTGTTGACGTGTAGACTAGGTTACATTTGTTACTTGTGTACATTTGTGGCTAGTCTCTCTTCAACGCTTAACGTGTGTAGTAGTGGCTTAACTGAGAAGTGTTCCGTTTAACAATGGCAGGATATTTTTTCTCGTGAGCAGATATGATTTTTACATACGGCTGCGCAAATGGTAATGGACGCGAGGCTGCATGGCTGTATCAGATTGCGTTTTCAGTCCGAAGGCAGCTAAATCATCTAATCTTTGCTGCTGTTTATCGTTACGCTGCTGAGACAGTGGCATCACAAACTATGGATCGACGAAGACCGCGATCCGCTTGTACGCCTACCACAAAGAATTCTAGGCTGTCGGAGACGATCCAGGTATCAGCACACCTCAGGTGGCGCTACCATGTCGTTCATTTCAAAGTACCGCATGGAGGGTACTTCAAGAGAAGACCCTGTATCCGTATCATTCGCAGCGTGTGCATAGTTTTTCGCGCTCTGTTTACTTACCACGTGAGGACTTTTGCCGATGACCTACTGCACAATATGCCGATCTATTAGTTACCTCTTCAGTCTTTTAGCCGTCTGAGCCAACATTTGGAAGAGATGGAATAACAAATCTACATAATCAACATTTGTGGGAGGAGCCGAATCCCCATGGTACAATACAGGCTAGACAGCAGTATCAGTTCACGATTAATGCGTGGAATGGAATTGTAGGTGACTGTCTGGTAGGTCCATATGTTTTATCAGCACGTCTTACAAGAACTGTCTTCAGAGGTATTATTTCGAACACACTTCCAGACCTGCTAGAGGATGTACCACTGCTAGGGGATGGAAAACACTGATTTTAAACTTTCACTGCCTTGAACTCCTATCTAACTGAAAGGATATGAATTCTATGGAAATAAAATTAAATCAAGATAGAAATCCGGTGTGGAACTTTCCGGAAAATCCTGAAGCCAAGCCGGCCCTAAATATAATGCCCTGTATTCTTTTACATCTTATCGGTACGGCCGAGAATGTGGTCATTAGATCCGAGCAACGCACGGTCTCTTAAAACCATGAGTGAGACTAGTAGAAGACGATTCTAAGCCAATTATTATTCAAATGTTTTTTTTTTTATAATTTAAATTATTTATTTCCGACTTCTTATAATTAATATATTATTATTATTACTATTATTATTATTATTATTATTATTATTTTCTTTGATTTCTGGCGTTTACACATTTCTTTCCGGGTCCCGCCCAGGGACCTAAGGTTAGAAATGGCATCATGACACGTTCTACTGACAAAAAAAAAAACATACATAGATAAAGCCCTTTGTAAAGTGTGGGCTGTACTTGTCAGAACAATATTTTGTATCTCCTTGAGGCATAGACTTCCAGGAATCCCTTCAATTCAGTCTACTGCAATCTTTTCCAACCAGTCCTAGGGGGTCCAACTACAACAGGGATTGTTGATGTTCCCATATGCCACATTTTCGAGATTTCTATTTCAAGGTCCTTGTATTTTGACAGCTTTTTGAATATCTTCAAAGATACATTGTAGTCAGCAGGGACTGCCATATCAATAAGGAAGCACCGTTTTTGTTTGTGGTCTTTAATAACAATATCTGGCCGGTTGGACTTGATTGTTCTGTCAGTGTGTATTGTGTAGTCCCATAGAATTGTAACAGGTCCTATCTCCGTAACCGGGTCTGGGTGGTGTTCATACCAGTTTCTTTCAGTTTCCTTCCCGTAGAAGTTGCAGATTTTCCAGTGCAGATATTGACCCACTCTGTCATGCCGGGTTTTATATTCAGTGGGTGCCAATACCGTACAACCTGATACAAGATGATCAATCGTTTCTGGATATTTATCACAGAATCTGCATTTTGGGCTGACAATATTTTAGTATATGTGCTTGATAATTCCTAGTTAGCAAGCATTGGTCCTGCGCAGCAAGGATAAAACCTTCAGTTTCCGCTTTCAACCCTGCAATACGTAGCCACTGATGGGTACGGGTTTTGTCTACGTCAGCTTGTTTGGTACGGGCAGAGTATTGGCCATGAAGCGGTTTATCTTGCCATCTTCTGTAACTGATCGGTTGCATTCGTCTTTGCTGTCTTTTTAGGTATTTTCAATATCAGCCGGTGTGTATTGTGCTGTAGTTGCATCTCTACGCCCATTTGAAACTGCATTTTGAATTTGTTGGCTTCTTTCATTACGGAGTAAAGACACTTACTACTTTCATGTTCCTTGACGCATACCATCATCCAGTCTTCTGTAGTTTCCAAATATCTTTGGAGGCCAATTGTTGTAGTTTTGTAGGACAGTTCTAGTTGAACTAATCCTCTGCCTCCTTCGGATCTGGGCACATACAGACGATCGACATCAGCTTTAAATGATGCATGCGATAGCAAGTGAGAAGCTCTCTCGTTTTGGTGTCCATTCGCTTAATTTCAGCTATGGTCCAGTTAAGGACATTAAAGCTGTATTGCACCACAGGGACAGCCAATGTGTTTATGGCTGATATTCTGGTTTTTGAGTTTAGCTCAGTGTTTAGTACCAGACGTACACGCCTGTTTTCTTATTTTTCCTTCATTTGGGGGTGTTGTATGCCATCTCCTTCGCTAATTCCGAGGTACTTATAAGCTTCATCATGCTCCAGTTCCCTAATCTTTGTGACAAAATCTAAATCTATTATTGTTTCTGTAATTCTACCTTTCTTGAATGTAACTTTTGCACATTTATCTAATCCAAAGTCCATACCTATGTCGTCACTGAAGTATTTTACAATATTGAGGAGGCCTTTCAACTCATTGTCGTCTTTGGCAAAGAGTTTGAGATCATCCATGTAGAGTAGATGATTGAATATTTTCTTATTTATTTTGTAACCATAGCTACTGTTGTTCAGTTCATGTGTAAAAGGGATTAAGGATAAACAAAACAGAGGGTGACAGAGAGTCTCCTTGAAAGATTCCACGTCGGATACTCAGACGGTTGGATATGGCAGTGCCTCCGTTGTGACTAAGGTATAGTTTGGTGTTCCACATTCCCATGCTGTGCTTAAGGGAATTTAATACCACAGGGGAGACTTTGTACATTTCCAAAGTCTTAAGGATCCAAGAATGTGGAACACTATCAAAGGCTTTACGATAATCAATCCACGCTGCACTTAGATTCCTGCGTCGTCTCCTGCAATTTTCCAGGATCATTTTATTTACCAGAAGTTGATCTTTGCAGCCATATGAACCACTTCTGCATCCCTTCTGTTCCAGCGGGAGAATGCTGTTTGTTTCAAGAAAGGAATAAGTACGGTTCGTCAGTACAGACGTGATCAACTTATACGTTGTGGAGAGACATGTTATCGGTCTATAATTTTTCGGGTCGTCTGTTTCAGTTGTTTTTGGTATGAGGTGCGTAATACCTTCAGTAATCCATTCCGGGATTTTATTGGGATTATTGGGATTATTTACAAGCGTTGATAATGGAAAAAAAAAGAATGTCATGGGTAGATGTGAGATGATACAGCCAGAAATTGGGCAACTTGTCATTTCCTGGGGATTTCCATTTTGGGGTTTCGTTAGAGCTTATTATTATTATTATTATTATTATTGCTTTTGATTTCTGGTGTGTACACATTTCTTCCCGATTCTCAAAATGGTAAAATTATTCCAATTTTTTTTTATAATAATTTAAATCATTTATTTCTGAAGCTCCTTCTTATAATTAATATATTATTATAATAATTTTATTTCCATTGGTGTGTACTCAGTTCTTACCAGGTCCTGACCAGAAACTTATCGTCAGAAATGTCATCATCTTTTGTTACGTGGCCCAGATCTCCAATTACTATTGGTACAGTCTCAGTCTTCATTCCCCACATCCTGTTAATCTCGATCTCCAGGTCCTTGTACTTGGACAATTTCTCGATAATTTCCATGGAGGTGTTTCTCTCAGATGGTATTGCTTCCTGAAATTCTTGTCTTTTATGACAATATCAGGTCTGTTGGCTTTTATTTCCCTGTCAGTTTGAATTGGTATGTCCCAGAGGATACTTACATCGTTATTTTGGGTAACTGTGTCCGGTTGGTGGTCATACCATCTCTCAGTGGTTTCGATTTTCTGCTTCTTGCATATCTTCCAGTGCACATATGTCGCTGCCTTGTTATATCTATGGGTATATTTTTTTGCTAATTCCGGACCTACTGCGATAATATGGTCGACAGTTTCATCATATTTTACGCAGATCAGGCCCTATCCTTGATTATGTGACGGTGATAGGACCTGATTGCGAGGCTTTGGTCCTGAGCTGCAATAATTAGACCTTTTGTTTTACTTTTACTCTTCATATTATTATTATTATTATTATTAGTAGTAGTAGTAGTAGTAGTAATAGTACCAATAATAATAATTTATTTCTTCATCTTTACTGTTATTAATAATAATAATAATAAAGAAGAAGAAGAAGAAGAAAATAATAATTATATGTTTAAAAATAGTATTAATATTATTCTTCTATTAATGCATCTTCTGCTTTTCTTCATATAATTAATATTATCATCATTATTATTGTTAATATTAATAATAATATTCTGTTAATTCGTCCACTTCTGTCTGCTTCTGTTCTTCCCTTTTTCTTCTTCTTGTTTGTCTTATTAATAATCTATTATTTCATACTGTTCTATTTACCTGACTCATTATTTTTGTTTTTTCTAGTAATTCATTCTCTTCTTCTTCTTCTTCTCGTAATTCAACGTCTTCTACTTTTCATTCTAATTTTCTTCATCTCATAATTCATCCTCTTCTACGCTCGCTTCTCTTTCTCTTCTTCTTCTTCTTCTTCTTCTTCTTCTTCTTCTTCTTCTTCTTCTTCATCTTTAACTAGTAATTCAAACTCTTCTACTTCCCGTTCTCCTCCTTCTTGTAACTCAACCTCTTCTACTTTCCCTCCTCCTCCTCTTCCTCTTCATCCCTCTCCTTCTTCTTCTAGTAATTCAAACTCTTCTACTTACCCTTCTCCTGCTTCTTGTAATTCATCCTCTTCCACTGTCAATTCTCCTTATTCTAATCTTCTCGTAGTTTATCCTCCTCTACTTTCTCTTCTTCTTCTTCTTCTTTTTCTTCTTCTTCTTCTTCTTCTTTTAATTCATCCGTTTCTACTCTCCCTCCTCCTTTTCCTTCTTCTTATTCGTTCTCTTGTAATTCATCCTCTTCTACTCCCTTTGTTTTTCTTCTTCTTTTTCTTCTTCTACTCGTAATTCATACTCTTCCACTGTCACTTCTTCTTCTTCTTCTTCTTCTTTTCGTAATTCATCCTCCCTACTTTCCCTTCTCCTTCCCCTTTTGCTTCTACTTCTTCATCTCACAAATCATCCTCTTCTATTATCCCTTCATCATCATCAACATCATCATCTCTTTCCCTCTCTCTCTCTCTCTCTCTCTCTCCTTCCTCTCTTTCTCTCTCTAAACGGTCGTAGTAAATTCTCGCGAAATTGAAGACATTTTGACACTGACGAAAGCTCCACCTGTCATGAAGTTATTGGAGCAACGTACAGCACAGTCAACCGTATAACAAAATCAGTCAATGTTTTGACAACATCCACTGCACGAAACACAAACGAACAGAATCAAGTTTTGCAGCCAAAGTCGTACAGTAATATTATGCCATTTGCACATAAGCTGAAAGAGGTGAATTTCGTCTATTTATTAAACGTCGGATGCAGAAGACGGTTTCAGTTGTAAGATGGCGTTCATCTTTAGAGCGAGATTGTCCAAGTGAATGAAAAGAATGTGCGTATACGCACGCACATGAGAATGGCAGAGAGAGAGAGAGAGATATTAATGAAAGCGAGGTGAAGGGTTTGCGAATAGATACATATTCAAGGTTTTTACTGGAAGACTGACATAGCAAGTAGATAAACTATCCAGTCTTTTTTTATGTAAGCTATTTTCGTTAATACTAAAGATTAGCGAAAATAATTAGCCTACCTAGGGCAATGACGCCTCAGCCCGCTCCAGAGTAGTCTCCTTCGGACCTCGAACTCATATTTCAGCGTGCTTTCCACATTTAAAAGACAACTTGCATTTTCAGGAATGCCATCACCTGCCAGAATGCGTTCTCTTTAATCTCGTCCACTGTTTGAAATGTCCCTTTTGGCCATAATTGTTGCTTTTTAGAAAAGTTGCCATATTGTTGACTTTGGGAAAGTTGCAGAATGACTACTAAGTCGGGATTGACAGATTTCGGTGATGCCGTATATTTGACAAATTCTTGCAGGAAGTAGGGATAATGAAAAGACTGCCAAGTTGAATATGATTCTCTTAATAGAGTTAGAAAATATAACACTCATTGGACATATTAAAAGCAAGAGGCAAAATAACCTACCTAACAGTAAAAACATGGCAGAATAGTGAGTAGAAGGGGTGGCAATAAAAAAACACTTGTGCCCAGGAAGAGAGAGATGTACGCAAGGAAGGATGTCTTGGAAAACTTGACCTCCAGAGGACGCACTGTACACCAGAGAGACAGAGGAGGGCAGCTAACGACCAAGTTGGCCAGCTTGTGTGAATGGATTGCGCAGCTTGGGTGAGGAACATTAGCAAAAGGTGAAAAGCTGATAAGAGCCACGAGGGATAGAAAGATTTGGAAATTCATGGCCGCCCATGTCCTGAAGGGACGTGGCACATAGAAAAAAGAAGAAGAAGAAGAAGAAGAAGAAGAAGAAGAAAAGAAAAAGAAGAAAAAGAAGAAGAAGAAGAAAAAGAAAAAGAAGAAGAAAAAGAAAAATGAGAAAGGAAGAAAAAGAACAAGAAAAAAAAGAAGAAGAAAAAGAAGAAGAAGAAGAAGAAGAAGAAGAAGAAGAAAAAGTAGAAAAAGAAGAAGAAGAAGAAGAAGAAGAAGAAGAAGAAAAAGAAGAAGAAGAAGAAAAAGAAGAAAAAGAAGAAGAACAAGAAGAAGAAGAAAAGGAGAAAAGGAAGAAAAAAGAACAAGAAGAAAAAGAACAAGAACAAGAAGAAAAAGAAGAAGAAAAAGTAGAAAAAGAAAAAGTAGAAGAAGAAAAAGAAGAAAAAGTAGAAGAAGAAGAAAAAGAAGAAAAAAGAAGAAGAACAAGAACAAGAACAAGAAAAAGAAGAAGAAGAAGAAGAAGAAGATTAGTTATGAAACTAGAGAATGATAATATGCATTAAAAAGAGGGAAAAGCAGAAGTAGATGAGGAAGTAAATGATTCAAAAATTAGGAGTTAATACTTCTGTTTAAAATGGAAATGTTGCTTTTCACGATATTAAATATTTTCATGGTAACTGTTCGCAGGAACTCTTCACTATGGTACCTAGTGCTTATGAATTTAAACGCACTTATAGATTGATGCCAAAGTTCCATCAATTCTCATTTGAATTGCGTAGATGTAACCGCAGATTCTAAGTTAACTCGAATTCTTCTCGAATTTACTCTCTTCCGGCTCTATGCTTTCCAGCCAACTTTGATCTTCAAAAATTTAAATTCAATGTCAATCATTATCTATTGTCTTCTTGATTACTCTTCTATTATCCTCGCTCCTCAAAAACCTTTCTCTATTCGTTATCCTCAGTAAACCCTTGTGTTATAGTAGCTTTCCTGCCTTGACTGAATTAAAATCATTTAAATAATATATGTGTATGTGTAGTGTTAATTACTACCAAACCATGATGTATATTTTTCATTACACTTTGCTTAGCATCTCTACTTCTCTTTCTTCCGTCTTTGGTTCATTTCTTCTTCCCTTCTTCACACTATCTCTTTCCAAGTCTTTCTTTCTTTCTTTGTTTTTTTTTTCGTTCCTTTAAATATCCCATCCTTTCTACATTCTTTCCTTTGTTATTCAGTACTTCCATTTATTCAGTACTTACAGTGTCGAAACTAGTGTTTTTGAGGTCTGGAGCGGCCCTCAAGTTTGCCGACCCTCTCCAGAAGGAATACAATTCACATTAACCCTTTAAAGTTCATATATATATATATATATATATATATATATATATATATAATAAAAAACTTAAACACTAATATTCCATGGTCATAATTTATTCCATTGGAATCGTAAATACGATCCAATTCATCAGACCTACAAATTCAAAAATGAAAACAGAAAAACCCACTCCGGAAGTGGAAAGAGAATTTAGAGAAAGTGTAAATATGAAGAGGAGGGAGATTGAACTTAACAGAGAGAATTTTAGAGATGTTGGGGAAAGGGTTTTAATTAAGAGAAGAGAATGAAAGTCGACGGATGTCTAATGCATAAAGATACATTTCGTGGTGACATATATACACCATAGACAATTTGAAGCTAGAATAAGAGGGAGGGGGGAAGAGGAGGCGGGGGAGAGAGATGGGACGAAGGAAAGTGAAATTGCGTTTACTTAAAGGGCCGCTTTGTAATTGAGATAATTTGACAAAATTAATATCGACTACAGGTTACAAATCAAATATAAATATATGAAGATAAATATAACGATTGTCTAATCCAGCAAGGACCTATATTTCTATGTTCAAAGACACATGTGAATACACACAATAACAATTACATGTATACACATACACATAGGCATGTACCCATACACACGCATACATACGTGTACACACATATATAAAAATATAAAAATATATTCACATATCCACACATACACATATTCATCTATATCCATATACACACACTTTTCACATACATATACATACACACATATATATATATATATATATATATATATATATATATATATATATATATATATATTAAGAAATATAGTTTTAAGGTGTGCTATATTTATGGATAAAATGCTCAATATCTGAGATAGAGCGTATGTAAATATAAAATGAACATTAAAGTTAACACCCAGTCTCTCTCTCTCTCTCTCTCTCTCTCTCTCTCTGTGTGTGTGTGTGTGTGTGTGTGTGTGTGTGAGTATCTATATATAAGAGTATGCATATAAGTTTGTGATTCTGTGTTTCAAGCTTTTGCGATTATCAGACAAACTCGCTTATTCTTTTAAAATTTTAATCATTTTATGCTTGTTCGACTATGTTTGTTGGTGGGAGGGGGAATCTGCTTCTGTGCTTGTTAGGGGGTGGTACTATTATACGAATAGATACATGCATATAGGTGTACGCATTTTAGTCCACATCAGCACATCCATATATGCAATTCGAGGCTAGGCGCAGATACATATCCTTGCGTGCGGGCATACATACATACACAGTTATAATTCTATTTCGGTGTCGGGACCTTAGCTTTTTACGTGTAGCGATGTTCATTTCAAGAAGAGCGGGTAGGGGGGGTGTTATTGATGCATGGGCCGTCAGTGAAACTAACACATCCTCAAACACACTTCCTCAAACACACACATACGTACATGTGTAGACACGCACGTACACTATTATTGTTCTGGGGCTTTTTCACCACCACTTTGGTTAAGCTGGGTTCTGTTTGTGGTCATGGTGATGTTGATGTTTGTATTTTTCAACGCTAACTACTTGTATGTTGTTGAGCGTTGTGATTATGCTAGTAGAGATAATAGTTGTGGTATTAATTATTTTAGTAATAGATATTGACGTATTAACGTTATATATATATATATATATATATATATATATATATATATATATATATATATATATATTATTAATAGAAACTATACTCATCGGAAAACCTTCGTATATTGATTTGTAAATAAACAAGCTAAACCAGAGGGAAAAAAAGGTAAAAAAGAAAGAACCAAGAACATGTGCGTTAACCGGAAATAATCGTCCAGCATGCAAGTCCAAGACCCAAAGAAAAAAAAACCGATGCGAGTATCCAAAATAACTAAATAAAGTGCTCAATACAATGAGTAGAGCAGACCTAGTTAAACCTAGAGAGACAGACCTTTTTACTAAGGTTTCATTTAAGCGGATCGTCAGGAAAGCCGGTCTTCCCTGACGATCCGCTTAGGTGAAACCTTCGTAGGTTTGTCTGGCTCTCTAGGTTTAATATATATATATATATATATATATATATATATATATATATATATATATAGTGTAACCCGGATATAAGAGAGTTGTCGGGACCGAGAAGAAGTCTCTTATATGCGTGTTGCTCTTATATCCGGGTTTGGTCTATTTTGTTTAGGTAAGTATGGCTCTAATTTGGAACCAGAGAAAATCTCTCATATCCGGGTTTCTCTTATATCTGGGTCTCTTATATCCGGGTTAACTCTCTCTCTCTCTCTCTCTCTATATATATATATATATATATATATATATATATAATTAAGGACGAAATTATTCGCACAACCATATACGTATAAAAGCTAGGCCTAAAATAAGATAAAATGAAAAAATTGGTCCCTTTTTTTTTTTTTTTTTTTTTACTAATAGTTCACAGGCATGAAAAATCAAAATCAAAGAAGTGACGCCAAAATTTTGAATTTTCACATAGTTGTGGAAAAAAAACTGGATTCACTAAGTTAACTTAATCCAACCCTGAATCATACCCTTTAAAAAATCTTCAAATTTTTTTTTCACACCTTTAGCTCACGTCTTGTAAGTGGGCTTTATTCTCATCAGCTGACTGCACGTTTTGGAGACAATTTTTTTTTTATTGCTAGCTGGCTGATTTTGAGCCAGCCATATCAAAGACAAATTGGCTTCATTTAAAACCTGTCTTCTTCCTTATCGCTTTTGTTATTTTTTTATTTTTATTTATTTATTTATATATATACTTTTTTTTGCAACAAATTATTGAAATTATGCTATTGTTTTTGTTTTTTTTAAATTTTATTTTCTGAAAACTCCCCACAGATCAAAAGTGCCGCCCGGCGCGGACAGGCCCCTCACTAGCTTCGATATTGAGTACTCAACCCCTTTTTACATTTCTTGCTCAGTTTTTCTTTCGTTTTGCACTTCTTTTATTTCTTTCCTTCTTCTCAAAATTTGTTTCCTGTCACTATTTTCCTTTCTTTTATTCATTCCCTCATTCCTTTTTCTCTCACTCTCTCTCCTCTCACAACATTCTTTTTTTATTCTCTTATTCTCACCTCGCTCTGTTTCTCTTTATTTTCCTTCCATTTTATCCTTCTTTTCTTTCTTCCTTATTTACTTTCTTCTCTTCTTTTCTACTCACTTGGTTTGTTTGTTTTTTTTTTTCTGTTTTTATAAATTACGCTTCGCACTGATTGCTTCGCAGTAGTTACCTTATGTCAGATTTAACTTAGTAAATACAAATTTACACTAATTCGCCATTTTGACCTAAAATGTATACCCTACTTCACTGATTTTATGCCAGACTAAGTGTTGTGGGGCTCTCCCCCTTTTACATAAGATGGACTCGACGAAAGTATACTTATACTGACAGAGAGAATACCTGCTGTTGAGATCCGTCTCGATACAGTCTTTGAGTGTTTGCGACGTCTGTCGAACTCTCTGCGTTAGCAGAGAAACCCGGACGAAGCGTTGCCGAAGGACAAGGTCTCGTCCGGGGAGGTAAACAAGCCCTGAACCCGTCTCGGCGGGTTCAAAGTGTATATTTTTGGCCGAGCCTACGGGCTCGGAGAAACCCACATTAAACTCGGCCTTGTGCCACATATATTCCTCGAGGGTGGGATATTAAATACTGAGATACGTCGAGATACAGTCTCTGACTGTGTTCGATGTCTGTCGAACTCTCTGCTTTGTCAGTGAGGAATCCGGACGAGGCTTTGACGAAGAGCAAAATTTCATCTGGGGAGGTAGACAGATCTCGAACCCACTTATGCGGGTTCAAAGGGGATATTTTTTGGCTGAGCCTATGTGCTCGGAGAAGCCCACTTTAAACTCGACCTTGTGCCACATATATTTCTCGTGGGTGGAATGTTAAATATCGAGGTATGTCGAGATACAGTCTCTGACTGTGTGCGACGTCTGTCGGACTCTCTGCTCCGAAAGGCAAAGTTTCACCCGGGGAAGTAGACAGATCCCGGGCTCGGAGAAACCCACGTTAAATTCGGCCTTGTGCCATATACATTCCTCGTGGGGGGACTGTTAAATATTGAGATACGCTGAGGCAGGTTGGGAGATACGGAGACAGACACAGGGTGTCCAGAGAGAGAGAGAGAGATGGTTACGGCTTTACTTTCAGAGTCGTGTACATATACTTTCTTCTAACCCGCATTCCTGGACGACTAATCTTCACTTCAAGTCTGTATTCTTAGGTTTATTACACTTATTTTTCTATCTCAATTACTGGCGTTGGTTATTTATTTGTGCAGGATTCCATTCACAGAATCCACAACACTAAGTTATGCTATGTATGCTAAATTTAAACTCGTTTTCCTGGCTTTATTGTTTGTACATCTTGAAATCAAACGGCTAGATATATGCAAGGGTATATGCGCGTGCCGGCACAGGAAAACAAATAAATGATTGTCAAATATATACATGAGGTGAAAACATAATAGTGCTAGATGTAGTTGTACAGAACGAAGATATATGTACCTACCTTTTGGTGTGCAACTAAAGTCTTGCTCGATTACCAGCTCGTTGAGCACAAAATGTATGTAAGCCACTTTTAATAATATACATCGTGTGCCCGACGAGGTGGTAATCCAGCGAAACTTTAGTCGCACATCAAAACGTAAGCACGCGTATATGTACTAATTAAACACACATATATATATATATATATATATATATATATATATATATATATATATATATAATGAAATGGACAAAGTCCGACAATTATTTTAAGCCATTTTTATGTTTATACATTCTTTTTATAGATACAAATATTTAAGTAAATGCTCTGTTTATAATAAACTATATTAAACAACATTTACCGGCCTGAATGTCCGAGAAATTTTCACAGAATTCGAACCTGCATCCTATATGAAACCGTCATTTAGCTTGACGTGTCTTTACCGTTTTGGCCACGAAGGAGCGATCGGTTAGCAAGGTCGAATTTACTTCACTCTCCCAGGAATCTCTCACGTACATTCATATCTGCTCATGGCGTATCAAATGTAAACAAATGACGTCACATATTATGAAATGGACAAAGTCCGACAATTATTTTAAGACATTTTTATGTTTAACATTCTTTTGATAAATACAAATATTTAAGTAAATGGTCTATTTAATACTGTTTATTATAAACAGAGCGTTTACGTAAATAATTGTATCTAAAAAGAATGTTAAACATAAAATGTCTTTATATATATATATATATATATATATATATATATATATATATATATTAATTATTAATTATTTTTAATTTCTCAGTGTACTTCTCATTCTTTTTCTCTTGCGAATACGGAATACATCAAACTATCCAAAATTATCATACCCGAAGCATTTATCTATCTATGTAAACCACTGACAAAAAAAAAAAAAAAAACAAAAAAAAAAAAAACTGACAGTGAAATTCTTACAAAATTTATAAAAGTCAACGATCCTTTAGTAAACCTCTTTCTGACTTTCAAGTGCTTCTGTCTCCGTCTCTTGTCTGCCTGACTGTCTGTCTGTCTACTGCCCGTCTGTGTGTCACTCTCAGCCCATTTATCTTTCGAAGTCTTGCCTTTTTTTATTCTTTCCTGCATTGTGGTATTCATTCGCCGTTGTCTTACATTTTCATTCTAGCTATTTTACTTCATTTCTATATTTCCTGTCTCCCTCTCTCCCCCCCTCCCTCTCTATCTATCAAGCTCTTTTTATCTCTCTCCTTCTCTCCTTCTCTGCATCTATCTATCTATCTATCTATCTATGTCCCCACTCTCTAACTCTCTATATCTATCTATCTATCCTCTTTGTCATTTCATATCTATCTATCTATCTATTTCAGTTTTGTCCTTTCTATCTACCATAGTCTGTTAATATCTATCTATCTATATATATATATATATATATATATATATATATATATATATATATATATATCCCAGTCAGTTTCTATCTATCTATATCTATCTATCTATCTATCTATCTATCTCAGTTTTGTCCTTTCTATCTACCATATACTGTTATATCTATCTATCTATCTATCTATCTATCTATTACAATTTGTTTCTTTCTTCTATCTATCTATCTATTTCAGTTTTGTCATTTCTCTCTCACCATGTACTGTTATATCTATCTATCTATCTATCTATGTCCCCACTCTCTAACTCTCTATATCTATCTATCTATCCTCTTTGTCATTTCATATCTATCTATCTATCTATCTATCTATCTATCTATTTCAGTTTTGTCCTTTCTATCTACCATATACTGTTATATCTATCTATCTATCTATCTATCTATCTATCTATCTATCTATCTATCTATCCCAATCTGTTTCTTTCTTTCTTTCTATCTATCTATCTATCTATCTATCTATCTATCCCAATCTGTTTCTATCTATCTATCTATCTATCCCAATCTGTTTCTTTCTTTCTATCTATCTATCTTTCTTTCTATCTATCTATCTATCTATCTATTTCAGTTTTGTCATTTCTCTCTACCATATACTGTTATATCTATCTATCTATCTATCTATCTATTTCAATGTATCTATTTTTGATTATCTGTTTTTCTTTCTTCCCTACTTACATTCACCCTCTTCCACCTGTCTAAATCTTCAAAGAGCTTTTCTTTTTTTCAACATCTATATGGTGTATTGGAAAAGTAGCTCATTGTTCAAACATATTGTTAAATATAACAGAAAAGGAATGTCTATTATGTTTGATCATGTGTCGGTCGAAGCTTCGTATAGTGGCTTTAATTTCGAGAGAAAATAAAGATATTTTTATTATGCTGTTCCTCGCTTAACATAACAGGATATCATCTTTGATGTTGAAATGTCCATATAACCATTCTGATGATGGCTCATGTGAGCCGAAACCTTAGATCGAGGAACAGCAATATAATAAAATTTTCACCCTGTTATTATACATCGAACACTGTTTATTAACACCACCACTCATTGTGCGATAATCTATATCTATCTCTTTATCTGTCTCTCCCTCCTCCTCTCTGTCTCTCTTCTCTCTCTCACTCTTTCTCTCTGAGATACTGAGAACTTTAAACCAGAAACATAGCATACCTCAAAACTATATTTCGTCATATATATATATATATATATATATATATATATAAGTATAAGTGCGTAGGTATGCAGAAAATAGAAAAGAACACGTTGGGTGCATAATCCGGGGTTCCTTAGTATTTTTTGTTTTTTTTATTTTAAGAAGACAGTGCTCCATACAGAAGTAGAGTTATATTATAATAATATTTTTTTGTTTAAAAATATGATTCCTTCGCTATATAAGAGTTCTCATGTTTCAAAAACGAGAGCCGAAATATCCAAATAATTATTAAAATTAAGTTGGATTGTGGTGTTTATTCCCGTTTCATCTTCAAGCGAAAAAATTAGGATTCCTAAAATTTCGCTTGAAGATGAAACGGGACTAAATATGATATATTTATTTAAATATTGGATATTTCGGCTCTCGTTTTTGAAACATGAGAACTCTTATGTAAGAAAGGAATCATATTTTTAAACAAAAAATATTATTATAATAATATATATATATATATATATATATATATATATATATATATATATATATATATATATGTATATATGATGTTCGCTTCTTTTGCATGTAGTTTGAACTGAGTGAGCAACAACAAAAGTTCTTTGTTAAGGATATTTTTGTCGATAATTCATACGCACGCATATATACATGCACACACACACACACACACACATATATATATATATATATATATATATATATATATATATGTATGTATGTATGTATTTAAATATAAAACTGCACATTGAATTCAACACACAAAGTCGACAGTCTGTTTCATTCTGAACGCAAACATCAGCCCATTATTGCGTTTAGCATGAAAACTTCTGTAAAAAGAACTCTACTGCAGATCTATGGAAAGCTAACCGGTTTGAAATAGTGCTGTGACTATTTCCCGACTTGTGGAAATTAATAATTCTCTGTCTCAAGTCAACGCTAAGCTCCTCTGTCTTCCCCATCGTATTGCTGACATAAGAATATCAATGGTGACACTCTATGCAACACGTGAAATATTCTACAATAAATATTTTAGAAGACTTCACCGATTGAATAATTATGTAAATTACTTATACTTACACGAATCAATCAATTTAAAACGATATTATCTACTGTACAAAAATTTTTTTTTTCCTATTTTGCATAATTCGACTATCAAATTTGTTTTATTTAACTTATCTTTCTGAAAAATGAGTTCGTGGGAAGAATCTATTCGTATGGAACTTACATCTCATCGGTGGAATACGAAAGGAATGGGTGTTTTCTTTAGAAATTGCTTTGTTTACGTTTCTGTTTTTGTCTTTACAGTGATGTTCACCCTGTACAAGGCTTGGAAGCCACTCGAGGTAGAGGGTAGCTGACTAAGAAGCGTTTATTATGCGGATATATGGGAAAGATATACCTAGACTTAAAACAAGTTAATATTGTAGTAACCGGGAAACATCCACTTGGGAGTTGGTTAACGGGAAGAATGTTATCCAGTGAAGCTTATATCTCACCGATGGAATAGGACAAGATGGAGGATGTTTCCTTACAATGTGCGTGGACTGTGGAGTCCTAACCTTAAATGTCAGAATTTGTGAAACTAAGGAAAGTAGTTCGGCTGAACATTTTCCATGGCAATAGCAGTCGTGAAACGTTAGCGACCTTTCACCATTTTTTTTTTGGGCGTCTCCGAAAAATGACTACTGGCCTAATAATAATAATAATAATAATAATAATAATAATGCACAAGATTATTATTATTATTATTATTATTATTATTATTATTATTATTATTATTCTCTGTTGTCTACATTAAGCCCTCCTTGGATTAATATCCTCCTTAGAACTAGCCTACCAATCAAAAATTGTAATATATATATATATATATATATATATATATATATATATATATATATATATATATATATATATATTTCTACAGATAGACTGTTTCACTGTATCACAGCTCATCAGTCTGACTAGACGTCCACTTGCCTCTAGCTAGGATCGAAACCGGACTGAATTGGCGTCAGTCAGAGATTCTACCCCTAAGCCTAATATATATATATATATATATATGTGTGTGTGTGTGTGTGTGTGTGTGTGTGAGTCTCGAATCCATTTCATTCACTTACATGCTAATACCGTTGGAAAAGTTATTAATCCTCTTCTTCTAATGGCACGATCAAACCATAATATTAATATTTATTAGTAATTGGCAGGGCGTAACGGTCGTGCTAATTAATGGAGGAACAATCAGATTTATATTGTTTTTATTATTATTATGTATTTTTCGAATGTCTTATGTACCTATATTGGTCAATATTTTTAAAAATGTATGTGGGATACACATGAACATATTTGGAATTGACAACTTTTTCACTGAAATAGGAGTTAAACAGTTCTATCTGCACTTCTTTCTGACATTTTCTCACTGAAACCAAGTAGCGTTTTTGATATGGCTTTCCACATCTTCCCACGCAATCAAACCCAAATAGTCCATCATTTATTAGGTATTGGCAGGGCGTAACGGTTGTGCTAACTAATTTGGAAACAAGCAGAATTATATTATTATTATTATTATTATTATTCTGTCTTTTTTGAATGTCTTATGTACCTATATTATAATTGGGCTTCGTCTTATAAAACACATACAAATACACACACACACACACACACACACACACACATATATATATATATATATATATATATAGGTGTGTGTGTGTGTGTGTGTGTGTGTGTGTAGAATGGCGCCCTGTCTAAGTTTGGAAACCTCAAGGTACCTTGGTGTCTTTCTATTTAAGCATTTACATACTTCCGGTTCCTTTCCCTTGATTTCTTCACCGCAATGAACGTTAAGCGAAACGTAAACAAGAAAGAATGGAATCTGACCGTAAAACGTACGTGAATACAACAAAATGGCCGGACTTTGTAAGACGAACTCGACAGGCAATTTCCTTTGAATAAAGCGAAAATGAGCCTCTCGTGAAATCGAGAATTGTTAGTACGCGCTGAAAAGCACAGATGCCACACAACATGTGCAGAATTTAAGATTGTCGGTCGTTGTTGGTTGCAAGTTGCACTTCCGGTCCTGCTGGCGACTTCGACGTCTGAGTTTGCGCATTGCGGACACGTATGTGCTTTTCGATACCAGTCCGATACCAGCAGTTCTCGCGGAAAGTAAGTGACCGAAATAAAAATGGTGGCAAATTTCATTAGATAAATGCTATCATATTCGGTCTCAAGTGTTTTATTTTTCTTATTGTTTTAGGAAAGGAATTTCTTATACGCACTGAAAAAAAAGCTCAAAGATATACTTCAGAAAAATTATACTGGAACAATGTCAAAGGTATTTAAGGCAAAGTAAAATTTGGCGCCCTTTGGGATTCAATGCTATTTGGACATTAACTAAAACACTTGAGTCTAAACTTGATCGAACCTACACTCGGATGCTGCAAGCAAAACAAGAACTAGCCAGTGATCTACTGCACTGGATACCTAGCCATGGAGCAAAACGGGTTGGTCGACCAGGAGCGACCTACTTTGACCAGCTATATTGACACAGAATGCCACCCAAATGACGTTCTGTCATTGCTGCAGGACCGTGATAGTTGGCGTGAGAGACTCATAAAACATGATTAAAAAATGTTCGGAAGTTACTTTTCGGATATGTAAGAGTGATGGCGGTTAATCCTAGACTTGAAATCGTTAAGATTCCAGTGATCGGGAAAATATCCTGGGAATTTATTTCACAAAACAACGGGTATGACGATTATTCGCAAGAGACCACTCATCTAGGTGCTGACGAGGCGAGATATTGCTTAACTTATTATGTATGTACGCCAACCTCATGCATAAATACATGATGGTTTGCCTACCAGGTTGCCAAGGACGTCCAGTAAAAAAGCACGTCGATGAGGTTGTCTCCTCTAACCTTCCAAACCGGATTGGATCTACGCGATTTTTTATGTTCATTCATAGCTTGTGGAAGACTATGTGGGACTCTAAGCGTCAGGCAGTATTGACAATAAAAAAAAACAGTCAAGACAATTGGAGACTGCCTGCGTAGTAAACTATTCGAGTAATCTGATAATAAGGCACAGGTGGAGTAATTGAGGAATCGGAGAGTCGAGTTCGAATTCCAGACAAATCCATTACTTTCACTTACGTGATAATACACTTGGGAAAAGGGATGAATCCAACTCTTATGGTCTGAAGAGGAACGGTGGGGTAATGGATAGCGGCTCGGATTGAGGAATCGGAGAGCCGAGTTCGAATTCAGTCAAATCCATTACTTTCACTTACGTGATAATACACTTGGGAAAAGGGATGAATCCAACTCTTATGGTCTGAAGAGGAACGGTGGAGTAATGGATAGCGGCTCGGATTGAGGAATCGGAGAGCCGAGTTCGAATTCCAGTCAAATCCATTACTTTCACTTACGTGATAATACACTTGGGAAAAGGGATGAATCAACTCTTATGGTCTGAAGAGGAACGGTGGAGTAATGGATAGCGGCTCGGATTGAGGAATCGGAGAGCCGAGTTCGAA